TTATATTAACTATAAGGCATGACTTGGTTTATTTTTATCTAGATTACTATGTTTTCCTAGTTGTTAAGCAGATCCCACAACTAATGAGTAATTATTTTCCAGATTATCTACTGGGGGTGGATAACACAGTAAAGTAACTCTGAATATTATTTTCACACACTGGGCCTACCATGTGCAGGAATCTTTACACACATTTCTACACCCACGGTCTTGCTATGATGGTGTTCTACGTGTTGAACAAATGGAGGATTGGAGGTAAAAACTCTTTCCCAAGTCCGGTCACAGTTATAACATTCGCTGGGACACCAGAGCCTTTTGATGCCGGGCACCTCTGCAACACAATCTGCCAAAAGACTACCATTTTTCAAAAACTCAGGTGACTTCCTTTTTTCCACATTTATAAATAATGTCACAGTGTTGAAAAAAATATATTTCGTCTGTTTTTCTCCTTTTAAATGTTCGTTTTTGCATGGTGTTAGTGGGACAAGACATCTTTGGTAGGGTAATGAATGCTTTTATGGTATGTAGTAACTCAGCCTTTTACACTCACATCCAAATCTCAGCCTGCTCTTTCTCTAGGCTCCCACTGAAGGAGGCTTCAGCAGCAAAGCTCTGTAGGACCAATGTCCTAGCAGAAACCACAGGCAGTGAGTGAGGGGCTGATGAGGGTTCCCCTCTGTGTGCTGGGAATGTGTTCTATCGCCATTGGTTCATAAAGAGGCCGCGTCAATCTCTGGCAGGGCGGAATATAGCCAGGCTGGAAGAGGGATATAGAGAGAGTGGGTGGAGTCAAGGAGATGCCATGCAGCTGCAACAGCCTAAGCTGTTGACCAAACAGTGTTTAGTTTCTGTGTGAGTATTTGGGTCTGAGCAGTCGGGGAACGAGTGAGCAGCCTCCGCATACAAGGGGCATCACCCGCCAAGGAAGGGTAGGCACGAGCTGACAGGAGCTATGAGAAGGCAGGTTTCTGACCTGGTTCCATAGCCTTCTCACTGTGTAGACTTTCCAAAGCCGCAGTGGGTGATGAGGAAGGCCAGGCCTTGGGGTGTTCACACATAGATGGTGTGATCTTGAGGGAGTCCTTGGATCAGTCTAGCACGCAGCTAGGGCTAAGACTAACTTTGAGACCAAATGCTTTTGCTGTTTTGGATGGTATAAGGTGCTTTTATTTTTATTTTTTTTCCCAACATAATATTTTTATTATTTGGGAATTTCATCCAGCGTACTTTGATGACACTCACTTCCCAGTCCTCTCAGGTTCACCTCCCACCTTTGTGCTCTCCCAAGGCAGAAAAAAAGAAAAGAAAAGAAAAAAAAAAGAAAAAAAGGAAAAGAAAGACCAAGTGTTAGCTGTGTTGCCCCATGAATTCACTGGAGCACACTCACGCTCCCGGTAGCCAGTCCCTTAAAGAAACCGAGGTGTCCCCCCCCACCTCCAACAGAAGCCACCAACTGTGAAGTGCTGTGTCTTCATCACAACTTTTAGGGACTCTCTTCAAATAGCTTAATGCCTAGACGCTTTTTTTTTTCCTTTTGGGTGGGAAGAGGGAGAGGTTGGCACAGATACCTCAATTCTTCCATTTTCAGTTATGAGTCTGCAATCATGGATACAAACAAAGCTTCCCTGCCCATAGCCATAGGTGGCAGTGGGGATCACAGTCACATGGCTTCAGGCAGATCACAGACATAGCTCACCCCAGGTCTCTATAAATCCTTTACAAAGCCTCCCATTGGCAGTTCAATGGACTCTTCTTTCCTGGGACCTCTGCTACACACGAGTTCTGCTCTGCCCCTCTAAATTCCCACCTGTGACCTATGAATTTAATCCTCGGATTGTGAGACAAGACCCTACGGGCTGCCGACTCACTGAAGTCCATGGGGGCTGTGAACCCTGGTCCCCTGACTTCTGAGCTGAGCCCAGCTAAGACCCGAGAGGCTCAAGCACTCTGGAAGATACTCCCCCATTCCTGTATCACATTCCTATTGATGGGTTTGTTCCTGAGCTTCTACTTTGATGTCTTTACTGGACCAAGAACAGAAAATGTGTAAAAAGCCTACGTGGGCAGCAACAAGGATTAGAAGAACCAGTCCTGGAGAGCCGACAAAGACATTGCTGCATGTGCCCAGCTCGTGTTGCCGCTCCCCGTGTCCATACCATGACTAACCATGGCCTTGCTTCCTCGGCTGACCAAGGCCTGTCAGAACACATCAGTTGGCCCAAGAGACACAGTGTACTTGCTGCCCAAATTTTTATTACTTGGTGGAAAACAGGGAAACCACGAAAGGCAAGCAGTGAAGAAAATACTGAAAAGCCTTTATCAGAGAAAGCTTTCTGAAAAATAATAACTCCCTTGGTTACAAAATAAGTTCCCTGCGTATGTATGGAACTACTTCATTATTTAATCTATATTTACCTTAGTTGCTTAAACACATCCCGCATTTTCTTCCTAAAGTGTGTATTTATCAAGAGATCATCAGTGATTACAAGCCCTAAACTGAAACTATAACGCAGATTTAGTTTTAACTAATCAAATAATTTATCAACCATAAGCATCTATTAAAATCTTATCTGGTGTGAAACAGCAGTTACTGGGCACGGCGGCACATGCTTTAGTTTAGTTCAGTCTCCTGAGAGGCAGAGGCAGGGCCAGGTCTCTGTGAGGAGGGGGAAGAGTCAGCTAGGGCAGTAGCAGTGGCAAACAGGAGACCAGCCACGATAAAGTGACTTGGTGCTGCTCTTCCCAGGCAGCGGTGATTCAGAAGTTCCTGAAGGCGCTGGGGTGCAGGGTGTTGGCAGTTGGGCTTCTATTTAGGCACTGGATACAATGAGAGATTACTGGGCAGTACTGACAAATATCGTCTGTATATTTGGATGAATAGTTTTCTCTCATTGACTTCGTTTATTTTTATCTGTGGATGGAAATGCCCGCTTATCCCCCTGGGAGTATTGAGCACTTATCTCTGGACCATGTAGTATCAGATGCGCAAAGGCAATGAAGTGTGAAACCCACCACTCCTTCCTGGAATCCCTTGGATAGAAAAATTAATTTTAATAGAAACGAATGTATTATTTCCCGAACTGTTGATATTTGAGGATACAGAGGGCCTGCCAGTGTGAAGTGTCACGGGCTTTGACTGTTCTCATTCACTGGAAGTCACCACATACCGTCCCTTCCCTGTCCTGGGGAGCCCAGTGAACAATGCGCCTGTTACACCTAAAAGGCAAGAGCCCCCCCCCCCCATCTTTTCTTGGCAGGAATACTTGGAAACTTTAAACAATCTAAAAATCAGCTGACTTATATGCTTCGTACCCTTTCACAAAATGTCACGAATTCCTATTTGCAACACTAATGAACAGCCACCAATTGTCTTAATTCCGCTATTGTTTTCAGCTGAAAGAGCAAGTGCTTACAGAAATAAGTGGGCTTTCTTCCTTTTTATAGCTCTCTCCGGAGAGTCTGAGACAAGTTTAGGCTGAAAGACACACGGAAAAAGCCGCCTAATTTTTCTTCTCTCTGAATAGAATTCTCTTCATCAAACTGCCTCATTATCCATCCCTCAGCCGAAAAATACAAGCAACAAGGGGAGACCTCAAGACCCAGGGAAGGCACAATTTTCCGGAGGCCGGTCCGGCATTTGCCGTCTCTGGGCAGGACTGAATCACGTTTGCGCTGTCTGAATTCTACACACTGCTAAAAGACGCCGAAGCTCTGCCGCCTTAAATGGTAGCAGAGACTAGGAGAGCAGGTTTGGCTTTTCGCAGTACCCAGGCGCAGCACACAACTCAAAACCGCAGTCACAGGCAGTCCCAGACACGGCAGGGCATGCTGAACCCCGGCAGGGACAGGAGAGACAGGGAACCGGTGCTCCCTTCTGCCGGGACCTCGTGCTTTGGTTCACTAAGTGACTCCTCAATAAGAGAAAGAATCTTTGCAACGTTTTCCTTCGTAAGAGGGGACAAAGGCTGAATACATGGTTCTGCTCCTGGTGTGCTCAAGGAAAGAAAGAAAGATGTGACCCGGGTGGCAGGCAACACGATGGGGTGCTGTCCGCAACCACAGCCAGAGAGAAAGGGGGAAGGAAGGACAGGTGAGCAGGAGGCAGCCAAGTCCTTGCTCTGTGTAGTGTGTCTTTTGAAAGCAGCTTCCAAAGCTCGGGAGTTCTTGACACCCAGAAAACATGGCAGGAATTTCTGTTACCGGGGTTACTTTCCAAGCACTTGTGTGATCTTTCAGAGCAGGGAGTCAAGGGGAAAGATAGCCGGGCTTGTAGTTGCTAGTTCAAGCTCCGTGTTCCCGAACACCTTCCCAACTTAACTGCTTATGTGGAAACAGCCAGCCGCCAACATGCGGGAACTCACCTAGCTAACCTGCAGCACTGTGGGACTCACACAGTCAGCCTGCATCCCCGTGAGACTCACACAGTCAGCCCGCACCACTGTGGGACCTACACAGTCGGCCCGCACCACCGTGGGACTCACACAGTCGGCCTGCACCACTGTGGGACTCACACAGTCAGCCCGCACCACTGTGGGGCTCACACAGTCAGCCCGCACCACTGTGGGACTCACATAGTCAGCCTGCATCTCCGTGAGACTCACACAGTCAGCCCGCACCACTGTGGGACCTACACAGTAAGCCTGCACCACCGTGGGACTCACACAGTCAGCCTGCACCACCGTGGGACTCACACAGTCAGCCTGCACCTGCACCTCCATGGAACTCACAGTCGGCCTGCACCACTGTGAGACTCACACAGTCAGCCTGTAGCACTGTGGGACTCACACAGTCAGCCTGCACCATTGTCAGACTCACACAGTCAGCCTGCACCTCCCTGGGACTCACACAATCAGCTTGCAGCACCATGGTGCTCACACAGTCAGCCTGCACCACCGTGGGACTCACACAGCCACCATGGGGCTCACACAGTCAGCCTGCACCGCTGTAGGACTCACACAGTCGGCCCGCAGCATCCCCGGCCGTCTCGGGCCTGGTCTCACCTGTTGAGTCTGTACTGGGTGTGGAACTCCCTCTCTTGCGCCGCACTGTATTCGTTCTGGTACTTGAGCAGCTGCTCCCGCAGCTTGCAAACCTCAGTGGAGAAGGCGTTGGGGAAGTCTTCGGCTTGCTGCAGGCGGACGAGCTGCTGCTGGATCTGTTCCGTGAAGAGTTTGGCGTTCTCCAGCAGCTGCACCTCCGACTGCTGGGTGCTGGGTTAAAGGGAAGGACACCAACAGTGAGGAAGTGCCCACCCATCCTCAGGACCCTTCCTGATTCCTGCGCTCACCGAGAACGAGGTTCACCTTCTAGCCCGAGCTGCCCACCCTCCAGCAGGAAGACGGGTGTACACAGTCAACCTCAACCGCAGTGCTTGGTCATAAGGACTTCTATGGGCATTGTCTAGATCCAGAGAGTGGGGACAAGGGAGACAGCATGTAATTCCAACAGAGCAGAGCATTCCCCTGATCTTGAAGAAAGACCAGGACTCCCAAGGAAGAGGAAATTAAGAAGCAAGCAGGCCCCTCCGCTGCCTGAGTAACCCATTTTTCTTGGTGCCTTTAGTTTTCTAACCGTGACTGTGCCAAGATCTTTCCCCCTTTACTGAACTAAGACATTAACCTTTCCTCTAATGGCCGCCACTGGGAGATCATGAAAATCCTCCTATAGAATTGTGGACATATTAATTAGTTTTAACGCTGCCTTGATGCCTGGCTAGAAATAGGTTTGACCACCACAGAAAAGAGGATTCCTACAACTCGGGTTGTATCCTGTGGCCTTGCCCCTGTTCAGTGAAGGGGCCGAGCATCCGCTACAGGCAGAACTGGATAGACAGAGAAGTTGTACTTGATATATTCCCAAGAATATTCTAGAACTCATGCATGCTGCGAGCTTGTATCAGCTCCAAATGTCTCTTAGAAGTGACTGATCTGTCCCAGATACGCTCGCACCAGTGACCCCCGCCCTGAAATCAGAGGCAGGCCTTTGCTATTTTCTGTTTTAAAGGCAAAACTCCCTGTGTGCTCCACCGGATTTCCTGACCAAGAGAAACCTCTGGTTTCAGCTCATTTGCAGGGATGTCCCAGAACTGATCGAGCCTATCTCAGCGGAGGCGGCTGGCTCCCCTACTTTCCCAGGCTTTCCTGTGTCCTGTGTTGAGTGGCACCCGGCCACACAATTACTGGAACATGATCCGTTCCAGGAACTATGGTAGGCGCCAGGGAACAAGCCGAGCAGGGCCTATGAGCACACCTCCAATTGCCAGGAGCGGAAACGGGAGTTTCTCCCTTACGCTCAGTGTTCTTGTACGTGAACAGACTCCCCGCTATCCGGCGCCAACTGCCCAAGCTGGATCAGGCCGCCGTGGATCAGGCCGCCAGGCTCACACAGAAAGGAGGCAGCTCGGCAGTTAGCCAAGTCAGAACCTGAGTGGCGATTCACACAAATGCCCTTGATGGACAGTGCCAGTAGGAGAAAGTTCAGCTTCTGATCTACTCTCTGTGGAAAACCCACGTCTGCCTGCCTGCAGCCTCAGCAGCGGGAGGATGGACGCGCTCCACTGGGCTCTCCCCGTGGGTCTGCGACAGAGTGGTGGACTTTGCGGTGGGTAGAGAAGGAAGTGTGGGGTCAGCAGGACGGAAGCAGCTCCATCACAAGCAACACCGCATAGTTTTAGCCCCACACTCCTATGAATAGATAAGGGGTCCTCGGAGAGCTTCAACTCCCAGGGGCAGACGGGCTCTGGGCAGAGCTGCTGACTCCTGTGGACACCTAGTCTGCTGCCCAGGACTTAGCTGCAGAGTGGGCTGGGGTAGGAGGAAGCGGTGAGGAGTCGGGGTGGGCGTCTTAGCAGGTCTAAATCTGAGCTGTCGGAGAATCTGCAGGTCTGAACGAGAGTTTTCAATAGCTAGTCACCATGCAGAAAGGTCTCTCTGCCAGAGCCCTCCTCGTTCTGCCTACATGCCTGTCATCCGGTGCTCAAGAGCTATTTTCCGAGCGGGCAAATAGCCTTGTTTTGTCGCTTCTTGGTGGCAGAGCTAAGACTGTTCTAACTACTCGGTCAGAAAATCCACGGGACTGGGGCTTCGGTTGCCGGCAGCGCAGCCCACGGACGCCACCCATCGGCGTTCTTCCTTTTTCAGCCTCACCTCCCTGCTCACTCACGGTGTCTTCTCCGCAATTTCTAAACCCACTTCAACTCTGCCCGTGCCTAAAGGCTCCACATTTAGAGGAAACAAGAATGAGGACAAGTCCCATTCGTCGTGAGTAAGAACAGAGGTGACAGAAGGCACCTCCGCGCCGGCAAACAGCTTACCTCACCACCATGTCATGGAGCACCGTGTACTTGGCTTTCAACTCTGCCATTCTGGTCCCGGGAAGTTTTCCCATAGAATGCAGCTAGTGAAGAGAACATAGGTTAGTGTTAGCCATCATTGCCCGTACGCCTGTGGAGGAGATAAAAGGGTCTCACGTGGTCTCCAGCTGAGCATTGGAACGGTTACATGTGCGGCATGGTAGCACTTCAGAATGCCCTAGCCTGCCTCTCGCTAAGCTCTTTCCTCTTGGACGAGTCTCTAAACCTCTCTAGGCTATAATTTCTTCATCCAGAAACTCAAAGAATTAAATGTCTTCTCGTTTTAAAAAGATTTTTCTAGGTTAAACATTCTGAGTTGTGTGGACTTCCAGAACAGTAGCTTGTAAGTTGAGAGATCGCAGGTGCGTCTTTGGAGCAAGGGCCACGGATCGGTCACTCCTTCTCAGAGATGCCCTGAGGGCCGGGGCTGCTCCATCCGAAACCAAAGCTTGGCCAAAGAGCCCCTCCAAGGTTTTAGTTAAAACCGTCAGGCAGTTAAACTTCTGCACTCCAGTTTAAAAAATAATCCAAGGTCACACCCCTTGCCTAATGTCTCTGAAGGCAAAGTTTACTATTTATATAATGAGGTATTGTTTCTTTTTTCCTGCAAGCTGTTCTTAAATGTCTAAATATGCATGTATACAAATACATACACGTGCAATAAAAAAGTATAAAAAATGGAAATGTGTTCACTTGTGTTTTCATGTTGAGATCCCATTGAACTATCTTGTTAAAGCCAACAGCATAACTTCTCTTACAATTTCTGTGAACACACATAAGTCTCTTTGATGTGGGAGTGTCATATCAATCTGTTGATTTCATTGGTTGAGCAATAAAGAAACTGCTTGGCTGGCCCTGATAGGTTAAAAGATAGGTGGGAGGAGAAAACAGGAGGAAGAGGAAGTGAGGTCAGACTCTGCTCTGCTCCCGGACAGACCCAACAGCTCTGCTCTCTGGAGCAGAGACGCCATGCTCACCGCTCCAAGAGAGACTTGACAGCTCTGCTCTCTGGAGCAGAGACACCAGGCTCTGCTCTCCCAGGCAGCTCCAACCCAGGATGGAAGGAGGCTAGAATCTTCCCAGTAAGCGCACCGTGGGGTGCTTACACACATCATTAGAAATGGGCTAGTCCAGGTGCGAGAGTTAGCCTGTAAGGGCTAGAGTTCATGGGCCAAGCAGTTCTTAAATGAACACAGTTTGTGTGTTGTTATTTCGGGCATAAGCTAGCCAAGCGGGCGGGGTGTTGGGGACGCAGCCCCGCTGCTTCTTATTTCAACATCTCTTGACTTTTACCTTCTCTCCTATGTCTGCAGATAGGTCTTCCCTCCTCCTTCCCCCTCTTCCTTCTTCCTTCCTTCCTTCTTCCTTTCTTCCTTCCTTTCCTTTCCTTCGTCCTTTCTCTTTCTTTTGGTGATTCTCTCATACAATCCAGTCTGACCACACCTCCTTTCTCCATCCTCCCATCTCCCTCAGATCCACTGCTCCTCCATCTCCTTTCAGACAAGCGCAGGCCTCCCAGTTGTCCATTGAACACGGCATAATAAGATGCAGTAAATCTGGGCGCACACTCCTACATCAGGACTGGACACAGCAACCCAGAGGAGGAAGAGGGTCCCAGGAGCACAGGAAAGAGTCGAAGTGTGCCCTGGCACACTGAAAATACGGGCTTCTGTGATAACATGAACAGTGTTTACAGCTGCATCCATGGCAGTTTTAGAAGAAGCAGTTTAGTGGCTGGGGAGATGTCTTAGTGGTTGAAAACACTGCTCTTGCAAGAGGACTCAGCTTCAGATCCCAGCACCTCCAGCACCACACACAATAAGCTGTGACCCCAGTTCCTGGAAACCAAACATTCTTTTCTGGCCTCCGTGGGCATTGCACACTTGTGGTACACACATAAACACGCAGGCAAATACTCATACATACGAAATTTAAAAAGATTTGAAAAAACACTTAATCCATCAATTGACAAATGAATGGAAAAACAAAATGAACGTTTATACTGGGTGGCATTATCAGTCTACAGTTTAAAGAGGAAAGGGTCCCGAAACCTGTTCCAGCGAGGAAGAGTCTGCACCCATGAAAACTGTGAGAAGACCAGACGCAAAGGCCACATTTTGCGTTTGTCCTGCACAGGCAAAACTTTTCAAACAAAGCAGGGTTAGTGGCTGTGTAGATACCACAGCCAGGAGGAGCAGTGTAAGAAGAAAGAGGTATCGCGGAAATATTCTAAGATTAGAACATGTTGATAACCCAACCGGCGCACACACTAAAGTTGACTGGGCTGCATTTTATGCTCTGTGTGTTCTGACTCGACAAAACAGAAATACAAGTATAAATTCAAGATTTCCAATAAGAAAGGAAGATTTGCAACTGGAAAAAACCAAAAAACTAGTACAGTTTAATTAAAGCTCAAGTATAAATTCATTACTATTATTTTTTAAATACCAATTTTGTCCATTAACAGGGTCTACTTTCAATGCCACATTAATAACAAGTATTTCCTAACATCCATAACGCACTCCCTAATATTATTTCCCACTAAAAGAAGCCAGTAAATGTCAAGAAAATGTCCAATGTCCAATTTCAGACCTGGTGTGTGTGTGTGTGTGTGTGTGTGTGTGTGTGTGTTGGGGAGTGGGGTGGACACACAAAGTGAAGTCAGGACATCTTAGCCAAAAGTAAGTTCTTCATGTTGTACAGGATCTGATTTTACATTTGAGGGTGGGATAGAGACCCAGAAGATCCAAACCGAGATGCTGAAATATTCTCTGGGCTGTAAGTATATACCACTTTCTATTTTTGTCTCTGTTTTCCCATATTCATTCTCTGTCTGTCTGTCTGTACCTTCTCTCTCCTTCCTCCCTTCTTTCTTTTCTTTCTTGGAATGCACAAGTACATTTTTAATAATTAAAGGCTATTAAAATATGTTAGCTGTGATTGCTGTAAGCAGTGGGACTCAGAATTTCAAACAGGAGCGTGGTGGGTCAGATCTGAGAGGAGACAGCTGGGTTATAGCTCGGTGTCTGCTCTGAGCATGGTGCCACCCTCGGCAGCAAACTCTTGGAAGCCCAGCAGTGGGTGGGCCACGGCTGCGCATTGGCAGGCTTATGGCCACAGACAAAGCAGGAAGGCTAGCGAGGTTTGTGTCTTAGCCATCTCTGTCTCTCCTACGGCCCTTGGTAACTTGAGAATTCAAGAAAGCTCAGTGGACAAAACATCCAACTGTCTTTGTAGTTTCTACATAAATCCAAAGTCAAGTCGCAGGAGTCCCGGGAGGCGTAAACGTTCCTCATCTCCACTACTGAAAACAAACCTCTTACAGAAGAGAACAACTCAGCGTGAAAAATGTACTTGCTTCCTTCAAATTAGGAAGTCAGTGCTAAGAAGATGGCTCACTCACTAAGGTTCTAGGCACACAGGCTGAGAAGATAGCTCACCTAGTAAGGTTCTAGGCACACATGTATGAAGACTTGAGTTTGGACCCAGTTTCCACGTGAAAGTCACATAGCAGCACCTGCAGTCCCAGAGCTGAGGAGGCTGAGACACACAGAACCTTGGCGCTCTCTGGCTAACTGGCATAGCCAGACCAGCAAGTCCCGGATCAGGCAAGACCCCACCTCAAAAAATAAAGAGGAGGGTGATTGAGTAAGACAAATGATACCAATGCGTGATCTCCACATGCACATGTGCACATAGACACACATAGACGTACACGCATGCACACACATACACACACGCACACATACACATGCACACACACATGCACGCATACACACGTGCACACACAGAGTAAATAATTCACAATCTGGAAGCTTACACTCCTTCTCTGTAGAGCTGCAGACTGTTTCTTTTGAGGGGCTCCCTCCATAGCTGGGAACTTTGGGCTCAGTTCTCGCGGATAAAAAATGGTTTATTCATCCACAGCATCAGATGAGGAAAAAAAATAGCTGTATTTTCACACTGCACAGCACAAGTGGGCCCAAGACCCGAGTGTGTCACGTCTTAGAAATGCAGAATCAAGCGACACAGCGGGAAGGACAAGGCGAAGCTGCTGGAGAGCGTGCACACGAAAGGTTAGAGAGAAGGTCACAGTTCACAAATGTGACTGCACAGAGGGACCGTGGGAGTCGCCTTGCCGGGGACTGGGACTCGAAGGAAACATTTACTCTGCCGCTGAAAGTTTAACGAGAGTTCATGACTCGTGGCTGACATGGACTAATATGGAAAAAATTCAAGACGTTAGAGCATTCCGAGCAAAGAAACGGCTAGGTCAGATCTGGTACCAAGTGGCCCCATCTGGAAGGGGTCAGCACGAGGAAACAATCAGGGTTTGTGTGGGTGTGTCCAAGGTGTTCTGGCCTTGCCGACAGCGTGTGGCTTCCTGCAGAAGTGTCTGGCATGCTTCTGATGTCACCCTAGCTCGAAAGTGTCCCTGCGTCTCCTCTGCATTTCTTGCTGGTCTCTGGCTCACTGAAGTGATTTCCAAATGCACCCACGTCCTCAGTCACACTGCTTCACCCACCTTTGGCCCACATTTCCAGCTAGACATTCGTTAGGTCAGCCACCCGTTCCCCACCTGCCTGAGCTCATCTCCTGCATCGACAGGCTTATCACCAGTACCACGCCTCACTGACTTCCCCTACATCTTCAAAGTTACACATTTTTTTTCCCTCGGCCAAGTCCAATCTATCTCCCTGTGCTGTTGCGTGCTTCCCAGGTCTTCCTGGGCATGAAGCCATCAGCCAGGGCATCTGCCTCTCCTTAGCAACCTCCGCTTTCCCTTCGTGTCGGCTCAGCACTACTGCATACACACACACACACACACACACACACACACACACACACACACACACACGGGCCTTGGCCTGAACTCTAGGTCAGTTGCTTTTAAACTATGCAATGTGGAATGATATTCAGTCAGTCCACACCTCACTTTGTTCAGTGTAAAAGACAGGGAAATGTAGTCCTTGTGTCCTTGCCAACTTGACACACACCTAGAGGTACCTGGGAAGCGAAAACCTCGACTGAAGAATCTTCCAGA